TGTCCTCCTTGATTTCTTTCATCAGTGTTTTATAGTTTTCTATGTATAGGTCTTTTGTTTCTTTAGGTAGACATACTCCTAAGTATTTTATTCTTTTTATTGCAAAGGTGAATGGTATTGTTTCCTTAATTTCTCTTTCTGTTTTCTCATTGTTAGTGTATAGGATTGAAAGGGATTTCTGTGTGTTAATTTTATATCCTGCAACTTTACTACATTCATTGATTAGCTCTAGTAATTTTCTGGTAGAGTCTGTAGGATTTTCTATGTAGAGGATCATGTCATCTGCAAACAGTGAGAGTTTTACTTCTTCTCCTATCTGGATTCCTTTTACTTCTTTTTCTACTCCGATTGCTGTGGCCAACACTTCCAAAACTATGTTGAATAGTAGTGGTGAGAGTGGGCACCGTTGTCTTGTTCCTGACTTTAGGGGAAACGCTTTCAATTTTTCACCATAGAGGATAATGTTTGCTGTGGGTTTGTCATATATAGCTTTTATTATGTTGAGGTGTGTTCCTTCTATTCCTGCTTTCTGGAGAGTTTATATGATAAATGGATGTTGAATTTTGTCAAAGGCTTTTTCTGCATCTATTGAGATAATCATATGGTTTTTATCTTTCAATTTGTTAATGTGGTGTATTACATTGATTGATTTGTGGATATTATAAAATCCTTGCATTCCTGGGATAAAGCCCACTTGGTCATGATGTATGATCTTTTTAATATGTTGTTGGATTCTATTTGCTAGAATTTTGTTAAGGATTTTTGCATCTATGTTCATCAGTGATATTGGCTTGTAGTTTTCTTTTTTTGTGGCATCTTTGTCTGGTTTTGGAATTAGGGTGATGGTGGCCTCATAGAGTGAGTCTGGAAGTTTACCTTCTTCTGCAATTTTCTGGAATAGTTTGAGTAAGATAGGTGTTAGCTCTTCTCTAAATTTTTGGTAAAATTCAGCTGTGAAGCCATCTGGTCCTGGGCTTTTGTTTGCTGGAAGATTTCTGATTATAGTTTCGATTTCCGTGCTTGTGATGGGTCTGTTAAGATCTTCTATTTCTTCCTGGTTCAGTTTTGGAAAGTTATACTTTTCTAAGAATTTGTCCATTTCTTCCAAGTTGTCCATTTTACTGGCATATAGCTGCTGGTAGTACTCTCTTATGATCCTTTGTATTTCAGTGTTATCTGTTGTGATCTCTCCATTTTCATTTCTAATTTTGTTGATTTGATTCTCTTCCCTTTGTTTCTTGATGAGTCTGGCTAACGGTTTGTCAATTTTGTTTATCTTTTCAAAAAACCAGCTTTTAGCTTTGTTGATTTTTGCTATGGTCTCTTTTATTTCTTTTGCATTTATTTCTGCCCTACTTAAAGTAATGAAAGAGAATAACCTACAACCCAGATTACTGTACCCAGCAAGGATCTCATTCAGATATGAAGGAGAATTCAAAAGCTTTACAGACAAGCAAAAGCTGAGAGAATACAGCACCACCAAACCAGCTCTTCTACAAATGCTAAAGGATCTTCTCTAGACAGGAAACACAGAAAGGTTGTATAAACGCGAACCCAAAACAACAAAGTAAATGGCAACGGGACCATACTTATCAATAATTACCTTAAATGTAAATGGGTTGAATGCCCCAGCCAAAAGACAAAGCCTGGCTGAATGGATACAAAAGCAAGACCCCTATATATGCTGTCTACAAGAGACCCACCTCAAAACAAGGGGCACATACAGACTAAAAGTGAAGGGCTGGAAAAAAATATTACACAAACAGAGACCAAAAGAAAGCAGGAGTCACAATACTCATATCAGATAAAATAGACTTTAAAATAAAGGCTATGAAAAGAGACAAAGAAGGACACTACATAATGATCAAAGGATCAATCCAAGAAAAAGATATAACAATTATAAATATATATGCACCCAACATAGGAGCACTGCAATATGTAAGGCAAATGCTAACAAGTATGAAAGGGGAAATTAATAATAACACAATAATAGTGGGAGACTTTAATATCCCACTCACACCTATGGATAGATCAACTAAACAGAAAATTAACAAGGAAACACAAATTTTAAATGACACAATGGACCAGCTAGACCTAATTGATATCTATAGGACATTTCACCCCAAAACAATCAATTTCACCTTTTTCTCAAGTGCACATGGAACCTTCTCCAGAATAGATCACATCCTGGGCCATAAATCTAGCCTTGGTAAATTCAAAAAAATTGAAATCATTCCAGTCATCTTTTCTGACCACAATGCAGTAAGATTAGATCTCAATTACAGGAAAAAAGCTATTAAAAATTCAAACATGTGGAGGCTAAATAACATGCTTCTAAATAACCAGCAAACCATAGAAGAAATCCTAGTATGCATAGAAACAAGTGAAAATGAAAACACAACAACCCAAAACCTATGGGACACTGTAAAAGCAGTGCTAAGGGGAAGATTCATAGCATTACAGGCCTACCTCAAGAAACAAGAAAAAAGTCAAATAAATAACCTAACTCTACACCTAAAGCAACTAGAGAAGGAAGAAATGAAGAACCCCAGGGTTAGTAGAAGGAAAGAAATCTTAAAAATTAGGGCAGAAATAAATGTATTTTAAAATCAACATCTTAAAGTACGTCAGCTACTTTTACCCCAGGGTGCTGTGTGGTTAAGCCTGTGGGTTGCTGAGGCAGACCAACCTGTGTGACCTCAGCGAGCAGCCCCACTCCCTAGCCTCCTTCCTCCTCTAAGTGGAGCTCTGCTGATGGCCTCTGAAGACCCTGGGGGGCTGTGGGAAGGGAGGAGGTAGCACTTGTGTGGTGGGGTGAGGGTCTGGCACACGGGTAGCGCTCAGAAGTGTTAGCTATCAGTTAGTTCAGTTCAGTTGCTCAGTCGTGTCTGACTCATTGCGACCCCATGGACTGAAGCACGCCAGGCCTCCCTGTCCATCACCAACTCCCAGAGTTTACTCAAACTCATGTCCATCGAGTCAGCGATGCCATCCAACCATCTCATCCTCTGTCATCCCTTCTCCTCCTGTCTTCAATCTTTCCCAGCATCAGGGTCTTTTCAAATGAGTCAGCTCTTCATATCAGGTGGCCAAACTTTTGGAGTTTCAGCTTCAACATTGGTCCTTCCATTGACTATTCAGGACTGATTTCATTTAGGATTGATTAGTTTGATCTCCTTGCTGTCCAAGGGACTCTCAAAAGTTTTCTTGAACACCACAGTTCAAAAGCATTGATTCTTTGGCACTCAGCTTTCTTTATAGTCCAACTCTCACATCCATACATGACCACTGGAAAAACCATAGCCTTGACTACACGGAGATTTGTTGGCAAAATAATGTCTCTGCTTTTTAATACACTGCCTAGGTTGCTCATAACTTTCCTTCCAAGGAGCAAATGTCTTTTAATTTCATGGCTGCAATCACCATCTGCAGTGATTTTGAAGCCCCCCCAAAAATGAAGTGAGCCACTGTTTCCACTGTTTCCCCATCTATTTCTCATGAAGTGATGGGACCAGATGCCATGATCTTAATTTTCTGAATGTTGAGTTTGAAGCCAACTTTTTCACTCTCTTCTTTCATTTTCATCAAGAGGCTATTTAGTTCTTCTCTTTCTGCCATAAGGGTGGTGTCATCGGCATATCTGAGGTTATCGATATTTCTCCCAGCAATCTTGATTCCAGCTTGTGCTTCATCCAGCCCAGCATTTCTCATGATGTACTCTGCATATAAGTTAAATAAGCACGGTGACAATATACAGCCTTGATGTATTCCTTTTCCTACGTGCAACCAGTCTGTTGTTCCATGTCCAGTTCTAACTGTTGCTTCCTGACCTGCATACAAATTTCTGAAGAGGCAGGTCAGGTGGTCTGGTATTCCCATCTCTTTAAGAATTTTCCAGAGTTTGTTGTGGTCCACACAGTCAAAGGCTTTGGTATAGTCAATAAAGCATAAGTAGATGTTTTTCTGGAACTCTCTTGCTTTTTCAATGATCCAACAGATGTTGGCAATTTGACCTCTGGTTCCTCTGTCTTTGCTAAATCCAGCTTGAACTTCTGGAAGTTCATGGTTCATGTACTGTTGAATAGCTATTATTACAATTCTAAAAATCAGGTACCATTTTAAGGAATAAACTGTCAAATAAGCATGTCTGTAGTTAACAGACATCAGAATGTCACACTGACTTATTTTGGCATAGGGCACTCAGCAGTCTATATCAGATAGCTTGGCTAATAGGCATGAAGACCAATGAATGGATCATTGCTTAGATGTGGATAATCAGGAACAGGAACAGTGTGCTTCTTAATACAGACACACACACACACATGATCCCCTTCCCCCACTAAGATAGCAAGGATGAATAAAATCAATGATTCCTAACATTTTTATATAGCATAAAATGTAGCTGGCTGCTGCTGGCTGGATTTAAAAGTCAACCCCCCCTATGGAGCCAGGTATGAGGGAGAGCTATCCAGGCATCCACTCAGAATAGGCCCTCTCTGTGATGAATACTCCTCTGTAAAAGTGCCTTCTAGGACTGTTAGAGGGATTAAAAAGGGTTTGTGCATATAAACCTGAGCTCAGTGGCTGGCATGCATTACCCATTATTCCTAATATTCTGGCTATTAGAAACCCTTGACTGATTGTAACTGGTGCTTTCAGCTGCTTAGACTCAAGAGCATCTTTGGTGTTGGCTCATAGTCCTGACCTGTCTGCAAATCACCCAGGAAACCTTGGGTCTAAAGGTTTCATAAAATCTATGCCTTCTTCAAGGTTCCCAGAGTGTTTGTGCTGCGGGGAACCCAAGAACATTTCCTGAAGCTCCAACCCAGGTCCCTGGACCTCTAGCTGTTTGAGGTCCCACAGCCTGTCCCTCCAAAGTCAGGCCAAGAACAAGTAGAACCCAAGGCCAAGAACAAGTAGAACCCGTTACAGTTCGCCCATTAAAACCCTTGCTGCAACTTTCCAGGGACCCTCCTTGTCGCTGTGCAACATTTTAGCAGGAAGTCTGCAGCACGGCCCCCTGGAACCCTGCCAGGCGCCAGTCTTCAGCTTTGGCTGGACCACTGTGGGCGAGGGAGAGGGGGGCTCTTCCTTCCTGTGGGCCCCTGTGAGGAGCAAGCTGGGCTGGAACAGGAGGCCCCGGACGGGCTGGGAGGACCGCAGGCCACTCTGTGGCAGCGGGCATCAGGGCGAGAGTGATGGCTGGGCCAGGTGTGGTCCAGAGGAGCTGGAGAGCGTGCGTGTGAGCCCTAAACTGAAAGCCCTCCGCTCTCGGCACAAGAGATGCCGCAGGCTGAGACGGCTGAGCCTGAAGCTAGGCGGCCCTGGTGTGTGTCTGTTTCACTCTCGCTGGGGCACATGCTTCCTTCCGGGGTTAGAGAGGTTAAGAGTGGGCGGTGGGGAGGAAGGAAAGCAAGGGGCGCAAGACAGACTAGAACAGTGATGCCCATTGACTGAGGTGTCTGCGGGAGGAACCAATGCACAGAGCACTTCCTGTGTATTTTCCCACTCTGTCTGGGGCGGGAGTGTGGCTATCCCCGTTACTCAGATGAAGGAAAAGCATCTCCCTGAGCTTAAGGCCCTAGGCTGGAGAGCCGGGATTCAAACCAAAGCCAGGCCGTCTCCAAAGCTGCAATGAGCCCCACTCACCCACCAGTTCTTAGTCCCTTAACCCATGCAGAGAAGTGGCAATATGTCCATTCAAATCCAGCAAAAGGAAAAAAAAAAAAAAAAAAGCTAGGGGGAGCTAGGCCGAGGAGGAGAAAGGAGCAGGTATCTTGCTTGGCAGAAAAGTTTACTGAGAGGTTGAAGAAAGCTCCAGAGAGTAGGTGCAGTAGAATACAGCTCACAGCTCTCCCTCTGAGAAACGAGGGGTCTCTCAAGTCATCATGAGGTGCTCCTGCTAGGAGAAAAGGAGAATAGGGGCGGAGGGCAGCAATTCCCTGGATTCTTGAGACCAGAGCCTGCAGGCACTGATGGATTCTGCAGTCATACCAGCTGCGATTGATGAGTCCAGGGTGAAACAGGAGCCCGACCCAGCCAGATCTCCTTTTCAAGAAAGTTGCAGTCTCCTCGAAGGATAGGGCAGGCACATGACACAACTCAGGAAAGATACTTAGAGAAAGTCAGACCAAGGGTTGTCGGCATTAATGCAAGAGGGAAGTCATTTCAGATGGGTTTACAAGGAAAAATTTCATGGATGATGATGTGACGTCTGAAGAATGGGTGGGATCTTGACCCAAGGACCTGGAAGCATCCCAGTCAGAGAACAGGATGAGGAGCTGGAAAGTATGGAGGGTGCGTAAGGAGAACTGTCAGCAGTGTGGTTTGGCTCGACTGTTGGTGAGGGGAGCAAAGTGGGAAGCAGTGGCAGAGAGATGGATCAGGCTGAAGCTGGAGGACCTTGTAGGTCACTTTGTTTAGAGGCAGTGGAGACTCACGGAAAACACTTGAGTGAGGGATTCCACGGTAAGTCCTTGCAGAGGAGGATCACTTCTGGTCTTCCTAGTCTTTTGCTGCGCTGGGCAGACTGAGGGAGAAGGTGAGGAGGACCATGGAGGAGGCTTCTGCAGCAGTTCTGGACAGGAGGCAGCGCGGGCCTACCCTGGGACATGTCTCCTGCTCTCCTTTTTCTCAAGCGCAGCTTATGTAACAACCATAATTACATGGCCCCTGGACACTCAAGTTGTCACTGTTGTGACTGTAAGCTCCATGAGGCCAGCACTGGGGTTCTGTCCTGGTGATATGCTTCCAGAGACCAGTGCAGTTCCTAGCATGTGGGTGGTATTTTTACCTCTCAGTGGATGAATGGATATGAGATGGTAACTTAGGGCAGGGTGTAAGATAGGATTCAAGCACTGATATATGAAGCATATAATTGGCTGGATATGACAACTGATTGTGCAAGGGCAAAGACAAGGCCGAGAGATAGAACCCATACATTTTTCCTGGGAATAAATCCAGTAATACAGACAGAGGAAGAAAAGGACACTTGATGGGAGTATATTCAGTCTTAAAATCAACATGCTAGAGGATCTGCCAGGTATAAAAGTCAAACAATCATTTGGAAACACAAGTCTGGAAGCCAGGTAGAAACGAGGGCTACAGGAAGGGGTGGGAGACACAGGACTGCTCCCCTAGGGTCCTGCTATCCTTCCCTGCTGGCCACGGCAGTGCTGGGTGTCTGACTTCCTACCCCTCTGAAGTCAGGCGTGGCAGTGTAACAGGATTAGCCAATGAAATCCGAGTCAGATAAGTGCCTTACTTCTGGGTGGAAGCCTGTGAGAGCTGGTGTGAGCTTCACCAGCAGCGTTACGAATGGCACAGGTATCTTAGACCAGGTCCTGAAGTGGGCCCAAGGACAGCACCCTGCTAGCCTGCAGTGGACACGGTGCAAACGAAGTAAATCTTTAGCTGATGCTTGAGCCACTGAGACTCGGGTGCTGTTTGTTACAGCAGCGTAACTTGGTCTGTCCTGACAGATACAAGAATCACACACTCAAGGAGGTCATCTGGACAGTTCAGCATTTGTTTATGAGTGCTTGCTCTCCAGGCGTTGGATTGAGCGCTGGGGTTACCATGGTGAGCAAGACAGATATGGTCCCCAGGGGGAGAGAGTGTCGAGAAAGCGGAGGGGAAAGAGAGCAGGGGGACGGTGAGGGGTGCTCCCACTGGGGAGCCAGAGGAGAACGCAGACGGTACAAGGCTCCAGGCAGGTCCTAGCAGCAGGAGCCACGGGAGGGCAGCCTGGGCCCTGCCTGGGACCCTCAGGGGAACGGGAAGGGCGGGAAGAAGTGGGCTTGCGTCTCCAGTGCAGACGCTCTGGGTGCGGCCCTACACCAGCTGCATCAGCACCACAGGGAAGTGCAGACCTTCTGAGTCAAGGCGGGGCCCAGCAGTCTGTGGTTTTCCAAGCCCCCTCCCCAGCTGATTCTGATGCTCACTTAAGTTTAAGAACCACACTCTGGTGCTGCTCTCCTGAGAGCCCCTGATGAAGTTCCTCAAAAGAGCCGTCAAGGGAATTCCCTGGTGGTCCAGTGGTTCGGGAGGAGGAAATGGCAACCCAGTCCAGGGTTCTTGCCTGGAGAAGCCTGTGGACAGAGGGGCCTGGTGGGCTGCAGTCCATGGGGTTGCAAAGAGTCAGGCGTGACCGAGCGACCAAACAGCAACCGGTGGATCGGACTCTGAGCTCTCACTGCCTGGGGCCTGGGCTCAGTCCCTGGTCAGGAAACTAAGGCTCCCACCAGCTGAGCGGCACGGCCAAAAACAGATAGTTGTCAAGAGAGTCAGGAAGTGCCTCTGCGGCCTGCAGAAAGCCTAGCTGTGCTCCCCTCTCACGGCTGCTGTGAGAATAACTGTGAGTAGTGAAGCCGGGGGTCATCTGAGAGGACAGGACTCCAGAGAGGGGACAGGGAGCGTGAGGATGGTTTGCTCTGGTTCCTTTTAGCGAGGAACAGCTGGGAAAATGGGCTCCCTTGGGAGCACAGACCACGCATGAGGCCGGGGGCCCTTCTGCTTGGAAGTGTCTGCCCCCATCCTGCATTCAGGGGAGAGGGTGTCAGCCCCACGGGAGAATTCTGGGGACAGAAGTGGGAGGGGCCTGCAGTGTGATGGGCGCTGCGGGGCTTGCCCCTCTCAGGATCTCATTTAATCTTCGTAACGACTCCAGGCAGATGCGTTGTCCTCACACCTTGTGGGGCTCCCCTGGTGGCTCAGACCCTAAAGAATCTGCCTCCAATGCAGGAGGCCTGGGTTCAGTCTCCGAGTTGGGAAGATCCCCTGGAGAAGGGCATGGCAACCTCCTCCAGTATCCTAGCCTGGAGGATCCCATGGACAGAGGAACCTTGTGGGGTCCCAGAGAGTCGGACATGACTGAGCGACTAACACTTTCATAACTTGTAGATGAGGAAATGAGGCTTAGTAAGGGTAAGGAACTGGCCTGTGGGGGTCACCAGTCTGGGTGATTTGATAGTCATCACATGTCCAACTCCACTCATCTCTGGATCTGTCAACCTCTGGGTATCCACATACCCTGGGTGGGAGCTAAGCTGCATTCTGGAGGATGTGCAGGTTTAGCAAAGGACAGAGAATATGGAAGAATATTTGAGATACAAATTAGAGGCCTGGGAGGCAAGTTTTTGTATGAAGCCTGTCAGTGTTAAATATACCAGTGTGTGCTGAGCACAGCTCACGAGGAAGCATGTGTGTGGTAAGGTGGTGATAGTTAGGAAGGTGCTGGATCAGATAGGATATACATGCCTCAAACTGCGCTTGGGGAAAGTGGATACTGGATGACCAGCAATACTTCTAAATAGTGCAGAGGGTCTGTTACCTGCAGGAAATCAGTTCCTTCTTTCTTTCCAAATCTCACTTTATGTTGCCTATACCAATTTAAAAATGGACTTAATACTTCAATTAGTTGATCTTCTATGGATAAAACTCCATAGTAAAGATATCGTGATAAAATCAACAAGAAGGAAATGCCATAAAAAGTAATTCTTCAAAGAGGTGACTGCTATCATTTACTGAAAGCTTAGTATAAGCCAGGTAACACTAAGTATAGGCAATTTACATGCAATATTTAATTTATTCTGAATAACAACCCTATGAGGTGGACAGTGGTTTCCATATGTTACAGATAGGAATGTGATACTCGGAGAGGTTAAGTCACGGACTAAACCATCCAGTTAGATGATGGCAAGGAGTCAAAGCATCCAGGCTCTGAACCTCTGGGCTTTTTGTCTCTGGTGATCCGTGAAAGTCACAGCCTGCTGGTCTGCAGTTGGCAGGGTCATGAGGAAGGCGGCTTCCTGGTGCGACGGGGCTGGAAAATGCTGACCCCAGAAGCCCTTCTGCTTCTTTTTACCTTCACCTTAGGTCTGATCAACCTACGAGGTGCGACCCCAGGATCACCTCTCGTGACTTTTTAATTACGTGATGGGTGGAAACTTGACAAAAATGCAAGCCCTCATAATTACCAAAGGGTGATTTTCGTCAATGGGGCTAAATATCAGAATGGAATAGTCTTCAAATTTGAAAGTCTCTTCAGTGCCCTGGGTTTTCCTGGGTAATGTCATCCTCTCAGTCTAATCTGGTGTTGCCCAAGAAAAGCAGGACTTTGCTGTGAGGGACAAGCTGAAGTCTCATTTCAGTGGAGAATGTTGCAAAAATGGAAAGCATACGCCAGTGTCACAGCATTTCCACATTTGCTG